ATGGTCTTGGCTGCGGCGCCGAAACAATGATATGGTCAACCCCACCAATCACAGCGCGGTGTGATCATGTTTGTTTAACCTTGTTATGGCATTTCTTCCGCCCATGCCCCCCTCCCCCCTCATAATCGAACTTTTTTGACATGTGGGCGTTTTTTTTTGTGCAATAGAACGTGCATGTGTAGGGCTGCCATTGTCTCGGGGTATGTACTAACTAAAAGTCACCACCCCTTCCCCTCCAATCTTTTTTTCGGGGCCTTGTTATGAGGACTTGGCATGGGCTAAGAGATGGTTGGCGGGTAATGAAGGGGCTCTTGGTGTGGATATAGTAGTGTGGGAAGAGAGGTAGTACAAAAGTGTCGTCTTGCCCCGTGAAAAGGTAGCTATATGCTGCTCGCTCGACTTTTCTTTTCTAAGGGCTACTGGACTGGCGATTTTTTTGGCTTGAGTATCTCAAGGCCTCGTTATTCGCTCGCTCTCGCTCTCTGTTGGCTGCAGCCCAATCGAGATGCGTTGTCTCGCCGCCCTCACAACGTTGCTTCTCGCCCCAACTGCTGTATTCGCAGCTTGGGGCTGGACAGATGATGGGAAGAACTATGTTATCGATACTAACGCCAACTTGGTTGTCAAAGTCAGCAAATCCAACGCTGATATGACTTCGATCAAGTACCGCGGCGTCGAGTACAATGGTCAGAATGGCAAGAACTCGCACGTGGAGTCTGGACTTGCGCCCGGCACTGTCACCATCAAGCAATACACCTCCCCGGCCAACATCATCAGAGTTACCATGAAAGTTGGGACTCTCACTCATACGCTCGTCTTCCGCTATGGCAACCCGAATGTGTACATTTTTATGAACAAGAGGGATACGAGCATCACTGTGTCACGTTACATTGTCCGCATCCCTGCAAACATCTTCACGAACAATGTCAACGAGGATACCGACTGGATTCCCAACGGTGCACCGGCTATCGAATCTGGTGATATCAACGGCGTCAACGGTCAAACATGGTCGAAGCACTATTCTGGAAAAAAGTATGGTCGCACTATAGACTACGACTATGTCGGTTACACCAACAATAATGTTGGCATGTACCTGATCCGCTCAAACCACGAGAAAGCGTCTGGAGGTCCTTTCTTCAGAAGTTTAATCCGTCGCGGCGGCGATGGCGGACCGGATCTCTACGACATTTACCAGTACAACATGGGTACGTTGAATTTCACACTTGACTCATCCAGACTTTCACTGATCCATCACAGGCCACACCGACCCCATGCGACTCGGCCTGCAAGGCCCATCAGTTCTCCACTTCACCGACAACGGCGCAGCACCCAACCACAACCTCTTTGCCCGCAACGCCAACTGGGACTGGTTCGACTCCCTTGAAATCGAAGACTGGGTCCCTGCCAGCCGCCGCGGCGCCGTTGCCGGCGTTGGCCTCGCCAACATGAAGAGCGGCTTCCAGTACGTCGTTGGCTTGAAAAATGACCAAGCCCAATACTGGACCATTGCAACCGGCGCATGGCGCATCAGCAACGCCTTGCCTGGCACTTACACCTTGACCGTCTACAAAGGCGTAAGTAGCCCATCCCCCTCTCCCCCTTTTTCCCAAAAAAAATTCTAACACAATTTCTTGCGTAGGAACTCGAAGTCCACACCAGCACCGTAACCATCTCCCCAGGCTCCACCGCAACCCGCAACACAATCACCCTCGTCGACCCCAACGACACCCCCACCATCTGGCGCATCGGCGACTGGGACGGCACCCCCCGGGGCCTCCTCAACTTCCAAGACACCCCCATGAAACCCACCTACATGCACCCCTCCGACTCCCGTCTCGCAAAATGGGACGCAGGCAACTTCATCGTCGGCACAACCCCCATCTCCGGTTTCCCAGCCTACATCTGGAAAGACATTAACAACGACCATCTCGTTTATTTCCGCCTTACCGATGCCCAGCTTGCACGCGGAGCCAAGATCCGTATCGGAGTTACGCAGGGTCAGGCGGGCGGGAGACCGACTGTTGCGGTGAATGCGTGGGTGGCTAAATTACCGGCTGATAAGGGTCAGGGTGATACGAGGAGTCTGACAGTGGGCACGTATAGAGGGAATAATTATGTCTATGAGTTTGAGGTCCCGGCTAGTGCGTGGGTGGCGAGTGCGAGGGAGTATCAGATTCTCAAGATTACGGTTATATCGGGGAAGACGGCTGCGGGGTATTTGAGTCCGGCGGTGAGTTTTGATGCTGTTGAGTTGATTGGGTTGTAAAGGTGGGTGGGAAGAAGGGGGTTGTTTTTGATTTCGCCTGTATATAGTTGAGGTGCTGTGTGTATATAAAGTTGGGAGGGGAGGTGTACGGGTAAGAGAACAGGAATGTTCGTATGAATGTCTACCGACCTTTTTTTTCGATCAATGTACGAAGTAGACTAGCCCATCTGGTAATTCAAAGCTATCTATCTAGCTAGAGAAAAGCCATTGCAAAGAAGCTTCAGACTACCGAAAAAGCGCACGTGGGAATACGAAAAGTACGAAGCTCTAAATTACTACAAAGAAAAAACCGCTAAACTACATCATGCTGTTCTCATGTGATAATACTGAGCAAATTATCCCAACGCCCGCATCATCATTTTTGTTTGCCTCAAAACACCATTAAACCCGCTTTCAATGCAACCCTCACACTCATATCCTCTGTATCTCCTGTGACCAACTCTGCACCGTCTGTCCCTCAGGAAACATACCATGAACAACCTTACCAGTCTTTGTATCGTAATGCGCGCCTGGGGGTAGTTGCATGGACATGACACTGGGACTTGGACCAGCATTGCCATTCTGTCTGGGATCCAAAAACTGTCCACCTCCTTCATTCATTTCCGGGCGCTGAGGCTGAGAATTCGACCTCATGCGGAGATTGGATTGGTCGTAGGGACTGGGCATACGGGTGTCGGGCTGGAAGGTTGCTGCGCGGTGGGGTTCGGAAGAAGGAGGTTGCCATTGGCTTCTTCCCGTTGTTGTGTCGACGTAATACCATCGCTGGCTTTGTGAATCGTAGTTTTGGATCCAACCGGCTGGCAACATGGATCCAAGGGGCGGGTGATGTTGGTCATGAGGAGGAGCCGGGCTTCCGGGGTATCCTCCTTGTGATGACACACGCCCGTGCTGTCGTGATTGGCTCATCTGATGATATCCATTTGCGCGAGGCGGTGATCTGTTGCCGCGCTTTTGTTGCTCGAACTTTTGAATTTGTTTCGTGATGTAGTCGTCTGCGCGTTGAAGGTAGGCGTCGAATGCCATTTTAGCGTTAGATCTGGGTGCTAGCTCGATGTGAGACTTGATTGATTGGTTTGTAGATTAAGAAAACGGCGCTGGACCCAAAGTAGTAATTCTTGTTCGCGGGAGACGTTTCACAGCCACATCTCGGTGGGAAGCCTACCGCCATATATAATGGCTTCCGGTCCTTTCCCCACGGTATGCGTCAGCCACTGTTTAGCCACATGAAGCCAACAGCACTAAACACTTGACAAAGCTTGACTAGCCGCGCCATCACTTTGCATTAATTTTGCACGCGGCGCCACATTTTTCCCTGGATTAGTCTGGTTGGGATGGCGCATGCAAATGTCCGATTGGTGCAGAGGGGGGCTCGTACGGAAGAAACGGGATTGTGGCTCTTGTCATGTGGCTTTAAGGCCCACTAGCTTGCCGATTTCCGTGGCGCATGCGAGCAGGCGCGATACCCACTGCTAGTGTTGTTACAGACCGCTGCATGAACAACTGGGTTGAGTTAATAATCCATGTGCATACTTTGTTGTTGAATTCAAAAAAGTCGTAGTCGAGTCTTTATCGGTGTCTTGTCGGCGGTCCTTTCATAATCCCGCCTCGGTCTCTCTTTACGAATCCCCGACAGAATAAATATAGCCCAATGATAACACAAGAAGAACGAGAAGGAAATATCACGCACATGACACCCAGGCCGAAGGAATCCGGCGCCCCTCTCCAGAGCCGCATTTGTCGGTCAGCGACACGCAAACAGCTCTCCTCGTCATGCCTGTCATTAGCTGCCGGAGCACCGTTTTGTGAAATTAGGTTTCGATGCAGGGAACATACGTACAGAGAAGCACAGGCTGAGAAAGCTTAGCAGCAAACTCGGGTTGGGTGATTGTTCAATGCCATCGTTACTTGATATATGTTCGACCACACTGGCTGTCGCAAAATAGCGCTGACCCGGGTACCAGGTTATTCTCTAGTGGTGTAATCGGATTCGACGGACGGCACTGATGACGGCAGAATTAAATACCCCAGGCGCTGATGTAGTCTTTTGTAAAGTTTGAAGGTAGACAACTGAATGTTCTTTACCTCTAACCGCCCAGGGAGACTCTTTTTTTGACGTGTTCATTTTGAACGGTGTGACTGGCGTTATCATTTCGCGTCAGTCCCTTAAATTGTCGATCAAGATGTAGCCGCATATTCATCAGCCGACTCATTGCTTTTGTTCATTCGTATTCCGGACCGTTGCTGCCGTAGGTCGGCTCCCACCTTCGACATGATCTGCTGTGTGTTAAACAGCGGAACCAATAAAGACGCTCTAACTCTCAACCAGGACAAAAGCAAGGCTCCTCCGCGCGAAATGATATCCTTCGTGCAGGCCTGACGTCGATGCACCTGCGTAAGCGGTAACTATGTCAGAGACTTTGGGTGACCAATCACTCTCCGGCAATGACCGCTTGTCGCGCTCTCTGCTTCGTATGTTTGCGTCTGCATGGAACGAGCGGAAGCCAGTCTCAAATCGTCAGCGTTCGTAAGCTTGGAGAAACCTTGACTTCATTAGCACTGTCGTTGCCTGCCTCACAAGTCCATTGGGTCACAAATATGACATCAACGTCACGTGAATTCACGGATGTGATTGGGTCAAACATAAGATGATGTTGTTGGGCCTCCCAAGCCCAGACAAAGCTACTTTTGATCCAATAGAAAAAGAATGGCCACTCGCATAGGTGTATCACACAAATCACTTCGATACCTTTATGAAGTCGCGACGGAGCCACTTCGGTGCACCCCTTCTAACAAAGATCATGTCGTTTTCCGTGTCGAGTCCCAATGCACTGAACCACTGGAGCGCTTCTTCTGGTACATGCGGTAGCCTGGTAACAGAAATCGCACATTGTTTGATCCAGGGAGTTGGGCATTTAGGATCCAGGACCAGGCGCATTCCGAACACACTCGGTTCTTTTAACTCGACGCTCTTGAACTCGTTGTTGACTGCGGCCCTCCACTCTGGTTCATAGCCAAGGAATAATTCGTTGAAAATGGCGCCACCTTTGCCGTTAAATTCAAAGTCTATGCCAGGCGTATTGAAGAGCCTGGCTAGAAGAGGCCGGATTTCGATGGGCGTGTCATATTTGCCACGTCGCTCCACGTCGGTGCGAATCGTAAGCCAAGCGACAATGTTTTCGCGGTGAACAACACTTGATCCAGAATCTGGATAAATAGCATCGAGGTAGTCCTGCGCATCACGGATGTGCACTGAAATGGCGCGATCCTTCAGGTACAATGGACGAAACTCCTTCCGCGTTTGGCGAGAGACCTGGGTCAAGCTGTAGTAACCACGCGCTGCCCAGAAAGCATCACTTGTGGTTGTTGTGCTGCGTCGGCTCACTTCCTTTTCGATGAGTCGGTCCTTGTCATATGCGCAAATTGCATATATTCTGTCGCGCACCTCTACGCGCCTGTAAGCTGAGAACGCATCATGCCGAGGTTGTTTGCTGTACCTAGCGGAAGGTCGGAAAAGCCCGCAAACTTCTTGTGATTAACGGTAGAAGGGTTGGATGACATAGTGACACTCATTTTGCTGGAACTGTCAACTTTTGCGATGCGCAAAGATTCTCTTGGGGTTTGCGAAGATTGAGAAGTGATGCGGAAAGGGAGGCATATTGAGGAAGGTGAACAGTGGAGAACGCTCTTCCTAACCTGATTAGGCAGGAGGCAATTGGGCGCCGTAAGAAAGATACGTAATTTTGTTGCCTCCTGAATTACATACCAATAATAGTCTCCTCCTCATACATCATGTCCGAACGAAAAGAACCTGTTTATTGAGTCGGCAGGAATTACATTTGTCGTGCGTTGTTCGCCATTATTTCTCAGACACTTACTAGGAAGTCATTGTATTGGTGGCATAATGTGCGATCAGTCATAGGCCACCCCCCTCGTATCTTATATATCGATGATTCATGTCGCCCGACGGCTGGATATCTTCTAAAGCAACCCAGCCCCAGAATCATGCAAATCAGGGAAGTGTCCCTACAAAACATTGCACCGTAGGTTGGACATGCCGCTAGTACTTGACATCTATTTAAGAAATGTCAATTGTCCAATCAACACCCAGTTTGGCTGCACGCTCCCTATTCGACACTGTTTTTATTTTATTTTCTATTGCCTGCCGTTGCTCGTAATAGACTCTAGGCGCAAGTCGATTATCTGACACAATAGCGGCTCTTCATTATGGGAAGTTCAGCTCAAAGCCTACTGCTTCCACAACGCTGGCATATTTAATATCGATGGTTTTATACCCGATGATATGGGACATGCTCACGATATTCTGAGAAGACTGCACTAAGAGAACATGAACCGCCATTATGTAATGAGGAAAGTCCATTGAGCCTGGGAAGGTACTTCAGCCCAGCTATGTGAGTAAAAGTGAGAGGGGGCTCCTCCTTAGTTTGATATAGATTTTCGCAATCAGCAGCGTCTCCAGAATCAAGGGAAGGGCCATACTGTGCTGCTTTTTGCATCTAGCTGTTGCCGTTAATCAACCCGCGACTACCTTACCCAAGAGCAAGGGACACGATGTCCCCCTTGATCACGAAGTTAACTCCTCAGTACTATCATGTTTGTTCAATCACTCAATGTTTTCTCAGCAATACCATAGCCATGGAATTTCTACCTTAACATTCGTACCATAACCGCTATCAGCTACACTCAAACGACAATCAACATGGAAGGAACACCTGCCAGGTCTTTGAATTCCCGCGGGCTGGTGGATTCGAAGAGTCCAACAAGAACATCGGTACCAAAGGAAGACGAAGTGCAGTGCGCACCATCAGAACAGTCCCCATTGTCACAGCAGCCTCCATCGCCAGGGCGGTCTCCATTACTCGAGAAGTCTCCGTCGCCGGAACAGTGTGCACAGTCAGAGCGGTCTCCATTCCCAGAGCAACCTCTGGTGCCAGAAGAGTCTCTGTCATCAAAACCATGTGCGCCACCAGGACAGTGTTCGCTGCCAGAGCATCCCCTGCTTGTAGAGCAATCTTTACCAGCAAAGCTTGGTTCATCGCCAAAGCAGTATGCGCCACTAGATCGTTCTTTGTCGTCAAATCAGCCTCCATTACCAGAATTCTCTCCGTTGCCAGAGGTCTCGCCATCACTAGAGCATTCTCTGCTACTAGAGCAACTTGCATCGCAAGAGCAGGCTTCGTTACAAGACGTGCCTCCATTGCCGGGACCTACTTCATCGCCCGAACCGTATCTACTTTCAGAGCATATTTTATCGCTGAAACAGGTCCCATCGCCCGAACAATGCGCACCGTTGGAGCCGCCTCCACCAGAGCAAACATCCTCGCCAGAGCAGACTTCTTCGCCGCCAGAACAATCTGCATCACTAGAGCGACCTCCTCCATCATTTCAATCTCCATCGCTAAACCCATCTCGTTCACCTGACCAACCGTCGTCCCTAGAGACGTCTCCATCAATCAAGATTTCCGAGCCCTCAAACCCGCCGTGGCCATCCGAGCTGCCGTCTTCAGCAGGCTTATCTCATTCACGAGAAGACCGCTCTTCCTCACTAGGCTTCTCCCTATCACCCATAGAATACACCTTGCGCGACCAACCACTCCCCTCAATCCCTTCCCCTCTCCCGCCATCCCCTCCTCCGAACCACTCATTCCAGAGCGCTACTCCTCCCCCGCCCCCAAAACCACCCTCGAAAAGCTACTCGAATGGCCCATCCCCGCCCCCATCCTTTCAATGCTCAGCTTAGACAACAAAACTGGAGAGTTCTGCCTCACCCACACCGACCTCCTCACCTACCTCCGTAACCACCGTGAGGAAGCAAACGACGCAAATCCACCCTTCCTCAAGGACCCGGACAACATCCCCAGCATAACAATGGATCTCTCGGATTTACTGTCCATATCTGACCCGTTACCTTCTATTGATCTCCTCCCTTACCTCCTCATCTACACCCGCTGCCCAGACGTCACATTCCGCACGCGTGGTTCCCCCATCGTACACGACCGCATCTACAAGTTCTTCACCGAGCTCGTGATTCCGCGGCGCGCCTTTTGGACGCGCTGCATCGCAGAAAACCCGGGGATAAGGGAGGTCCGGATCTTTTGTGAGCGGGAGAGGACTGTGGATATTGTGTTAGATCCCGGGAGTAGGTGGGCACGGGATTGGAATTGTGTGCCGTGGATTGAGTGGGAGAAGATTAGTAAGGTGAGGGTTTTTACGCTTTGTCTTGGATTGAATGTCAATAGGGCGTTTGGGTGGGAGGGGCATGTTGTTGTTGGGAGTGTGGAGGGGTAGGGGGTGGAGATGCCGGGGGAGCGGGTGTGGGGAGGGTGGTCGGAGTTGGGCTGGGGGAGATTGGGTATGCAGAGTTTGGGTGTCTGGTGATTGTGTTGTGGTAAGGTTTAAGAGCTGCCTCGTTGAATTGGATATTCGGATATTGTTCATACGGTATGGCAACGTGGCGAGTGGCCAATGTGAACGATGGCAGTCGATACTAGGATCTTCTTATCCAGCATCTCGACAGGCTGTTAGATTCGCAATCATCTGGCTCTTAGAGGTTGTATATCACATGAGCCTTCAAATATGACAGCATCATCAAATCAAAGCCAAGACCCCTTTCGTTTAGTGAATACGGCTTGGCACCGTCTTGTTTGTCGAACCTAGGATTGGCTTTTGTGAAGTCATTCCTCTAAAACAGTACAAAATGTTCTTACATACGTTGGCTGTTCGTATCGTTCAGCATCATCTCGATGTCCCTGCACGCGTTCCCAGATTCACACACCACATATAAGATGCCTGGTAACCCACATATCCGTTACCGAACCTCACGTGCCCCGAGACCAGTGCTTGAGCCAGTTGGTACTGATCACACCAGACAACGTATTCACGCAAAATTTCCGCCCTAGTACCGTCAATGGACCCTGTCCAGTTCCCATGTTCCACGTCTACCCCTGAACCGATGCTAGTTTGTACCCAAAAGATACCAACGGATCTCTTCCTGCAGTCTGTTCGCTGTGCATCCACCTGAGAACCCCTGAGATATAGGCGAGACCCTCAACAGACAGACTCATCCTAAATGATGCGAGCCATTGCTGCGCACGATTTCGTCTGTGTAGATCATCGGCGGATATAGGCTCGGATTTATCTCCAGTGATTCGAAGACAGTACCAGACCTGAGGGACGTGACGATTGATGCTCGCACACAGCTGAGTGGAGACTTGCGGGGCGACAACCTCAGTGTGCGGCAAAACTGGAGGCTGCCATGCCGATTGAGATGCCAATTGCGAGGAATGATTCTCTCCAACAACTTGTGCTTGGGGCTGTGTTGATTGCTGGTGCAAGGGCTGTGTGCTCGTAGGACTTAATTGTTGATCGGTTTGTTCAGGTTGGTTGTGGGCAGGTGTACGAGGATGCGATTGTTGGCCTTTACTTACCTCTATGATTTTGACATGATGAAGAATTCTTCCACTGAAGTTGCGGATATCCGCAAGCGCCTTGGCCTTTTTTCCCGTATCGGTAGAATTGTTCGCAATATGCCAGAGCCCAGAGAGATAACGTCTCAACTGGTTACGCATCTCGGGTTCCATGCACTGATATCGCGGATCACAGACTATGTCATCAGGCTGAAGCAAAACCACCTGCGGTGCTTGTTCTGGAGAAAACGGAACGTAAGATTGCTCTAGGGCAGCGGAAGAGTGCTAAGTGAATGGTTATTTCTGGACGACTAGAAAGAAATAGCAAAGGCAAGCTTACTGAATGCGTCTGTGTTGAGGTATGGGGTTGCTGTCGGCTTTGTTCATATATTCCTGAAAGAGTGCGGGGATGCTGCAGAAAATTTGGCGGATCGATTAATGTCCTTGTGTTGTTGCTGCTGTCGTTTCCGAGGTAGTCACCAGACTCTCCCCTATGCAATGCAGATTGATGATTAGGAAGAGTAGTCGTTGCTAAGCCCGATCTAGTTATCATTCGAGGTATCTGAGATCGCGACCGCACGTTGCGAGTATACTGGATCGGTTGCGGTATCGGAGTTGGATAGATCAAAGGATGCAAACCAGGCTCTTGAGTGACTACGACGCGTAGATCCGGGCCAAGAAGATAGTCGCTGTAGGCTGGAAAGACGTCGTAGTCGCGCTGCCACTCCTCCCAGTTCTCATCGTGGAAAGGCATCGCTGCTGTAAGTGGCCCTCCCTCCTAGCAGATGGCGTAGATGTGGTGGCAACAGAAAGAGTTGGTACGCATGATGAGAAAGCCCTGGGTGGGGTGCCTTATAAGGTCGATGGAAGAGCAGAGTAAGTGTAAGTGAAAGAGAATAGAGGAGTGACAGTGAAAAGTAAAGAAGACGTGCGCAGCGCACCTTCCTCAGCCGGGGGACCAAAGTCGGTTAAAGTGTGAATGCGCATGAATGAAAGCACCATCAATCTTTCAGTTGTCTAGCATGAGGGCAATAAGCATGACACCTCGCACATGAGCAGCTGAGCATGCTATAGCGCACCGACTATTTTTTAGGGACCGGCAGCCATTCATTACGCATTCAAGATGCTCTAGAAAGCAAACACGCCCTTCAAAAGGACTAGCATATTGGTCTTGGAGATTTCGCATTCATGGAATCTGATAAAAAATTGGGAAATTAAGCTGTCGGCACGATGCCGTCATGATCTCTATCACAGCGTTGGTTAATTCCGAGTTTGATCAACTTGATTAATGACACTCATCTATGCATACGAGGAATACCATGGATGGGTTCTGGGTTTGTAGTTTGAATAATATGTCCTAAGCGGGAAAGCAACAGGCACAAAGACAAGAATGAGGACAAGAGCAAAAGTTGGGGTGAAGCCATGTGCATCTAACCGTAGAGTATACTGTTCACTTCCATGCAAGCATGTGACAGCATGGGGAGGGAACAGAGCAGCGTTGTTCTCAGTAAGGATCAATGAAGTTGAAAATCGGCCCGTCCCCCAATTGAGCCTCAGCTGTCTCCCAGGATAGTCTTGATATAGAGTTGGGGAACTTGGGAAGATTGCCGAATGTAAACCGAAAGACAGCCGAGCAGTCATCCAGCATCCTCTCCAGGCAACTTCGGCGAAACCAAGATCCGATGCCCCAAGAAATGACGCCGGATCTCCCACGACCCCACCATTCTCATGTAGATCTTTGAACATTGCGCCACAGTCATTACTGCTACTGCGACTTCCCCTCATTCGCGCAACCTTCACTATCATAGTATAGAATTCGCCCTGCAATGGCCGATCCATTGCCAGCATCCGAGCCCGAAACCCTCGAAGCGCTTCAGTCCCGACACCGCAAAGAGCAACGCGATCTTGTCTCCCGTACAACACAAAAGAAGAAACAAGCCAGTAAAAAAACACGGAAGGGAGTCAACGAAGAATGTGAACGATTAGAAAGGGAGTTGAAAGAGCGACATGAGCATGAGCTTGCCATTCTAAATGGAGATGCTGTGCAACAGGAAAACGACGATAACATACCACCCTCCGAAGATGAGGCACAGGATATTCAGGAGGATATAGAAAAACTGAAGATTAATGGAAAGAATGCTGGGGGCAAAGAGAATGGTACCACAGAAAACACTGCTGAGCCCAAGGCAAAGAAACCCAATCGCGCCAAAGCCCGCCTTGCTCGCCGGGCCGCTGAACAGGCCTCTATGATTGCCGATGCCGAGCGCGAAGCTGCAAATGCACCAAATCCACGGGAACTCGAGCGAGAACGCATGGCGACGCAATTGGAGAAGCATAGCCTTGCGCTTCATGAGATACGGGCAGATGGACATTGTTTATACGCTGCTGTAGCAGACCAGTTACAGACAAGAGAGTTAGGATTACAGCCGAGAATAGCTATCGCAACGATCGGAAAAGATGAACAGAGTGAGACCGACAAAATAGAAGGTTACAAGGTGGTCCGACATGCAGCGGCAGACTGGATACAAGGCCACGCCGATGACTTCGCAGGATTCATGGAAGATCCACTGCCCGAGCATGTTCGAAAGATTAGGGAGACAGGTGAATGGGGTGGCCACCTAGAGCTTCTTGCGTTGGCTAGGTCATATGGGTTAAGGATTTGTGTGCTGCATAGCGATGGAAGAGTGGACAAGATCGAAGCCGAAGACGATGTCACAGAAAAGAAGGAGATTTGGTTGGGCTACTATAAACACAGCCATGGATTGGGAGAACACTATAACTCACTGCGCGTAGCTGGTTGAACATCATCTAGCAGGACCAGTACACCAACAGCACACCCGATGTGTTTAATGCCACCTTTGTTCCCCTGGACAATCTGCTTTATGTCGCCACATACTTACGCAGTCCCTTACAAGACCTTGGATGACGCCGATCTCGTGTGTCCGTCTGGGAGTAAAATGCGCAATTTTAACTAACGCCTTGTCTGTCTCCTCTCGGTCTGTCTTGGTCACCACGCCCTGGTCATCATACGAAATATCCCGACCTGGCTGTTTGAGAAGCTCTGTATGTACAAGCGGTGGCAGCGACCATGGTGGTCCACCCGATTTCACAGGCTTATGGGTTGGGAACTCAAGACAAATTAGGACGCCCCCGGTGCCTGTATTGTTCGAGGATGACAGGCGGAGAAGCTCAGTCATACGCGACGCCCACTTGGGACGGAGCGAGGGCGGGAGAGCACACAGGAACTGTGCACAGTGTCAGACCCATCAAAGAAAGCTGCGGGGATGCTACAATTAGCACTCACAGTATTGTCATAGATAATATCGAAGCCCTCATCTCCATCCCATCCATCAACATCCTTGAGCCAACCATCGTCAAAGAAGTCACCACAGACAACCTTCATCGCTCCTGTTCCTATATTTTCGTCCTTGATCGCATATTCACCCTCCAGGGGTCCTTTTCCGGGATCTGATAGATATTTCCGTGCAGCTTCAGCCGCGTGTGAGGACACCTCCAGCCCGTAAGCATCATAACCGTAAGCCGCAAACAAAGCCACATCGTAGCCTTTTCCGCACCCTGGCACCAATGCCCTCCTCCTCTTTCTGTCCTCCCTCAGTGGTCCGGGGAGAGACGCATAACCTGCTGACTCGCTGTTTGGTGGGGGTGCGCCTAATGATGGATTGGGGTCTGGAGACGAGATAGGACGAGACCGCTCGCTAAGGACGTCTATCAGCGCGGGATTGGCATGACCCCGGTCCCATGGCAGGAATGTAGCCTCTCGCCAGAGGTCGTCCCAGCGGTTGCTGTGATCCGAGTCGGGTGCAGAAGAGAAAAGCGTACGGAGACGATCCTGATTCTGGGTTGCCATTGTGGGAATCCCGCAAGACGACGGAGATACCGAGTCTGAATGACAGTGTCCGTATGACTAGGGAAGCTGAAGGCCTTTGACAGTTGATTGTCCCGAATGAATTCAATGCGGGGTGTCTGCAGCTGGCCGACAACACTCTCACCGCGATATCGATGGTTTCACGAGGTCTTTTTCCCGGCCCAGTGGAAAGATAACAAGACTGACCACCAAGCCCGTCTCTATGCTATTGAGCAATTGAGGTAATCGAAGAGCCAGTTGTAGATCTTCGGCACCTGTTACCTACATTTGTGGCGCCGATACTACCCCGCCGAAAACGTTAAAGTGTGGAAACGGTGGCGCCAACCACTCTGGACCGCGGAGATGTTCTACTATCCCTGATTTGTCGGACGGTCGCCGAGGCCAAATGGTCGAATCATCTTGGTGCACGATCGCAATGCGACAGTGTACCACGGATAAAGATGCCTTGGACGTTGACCTCGTACGAGATAGCTCGCCACGAGCAGAATACACGGACTGTCGCATGCATGCATCCTTCCAACCCAATAGAGCACGACGTCGATCATCAAGTTCGAGTAATGGTGCAAGTCGGCGTCCTCGGCATTCACATTTGCAGTCGACATGTACCCAAGAGTCAATTGCTCTGATATCGCCTCTAGCTATATAGCACTAAAATTTCTTTGCGTTCATTTCCGATTCCATGCCCATCGTTGCACCATAACAGGCAACACATCCGTGTTGATGAGGGAGATTGCTAGAGCTCAAGGCTTCGGCTGCATGCAGCCGAGGCATTACGACACTGCCACTGACACGCCTGTCGCAGAAGCGATTGTGCATACGGGAATAATAGCGTGCTGGTTGAAACCGGTCATTCAACACTATACATCTTGGATAATTTCTCAACTTTCCCCCCCTTCTTTTTCTTCTTGTTACATTTTTCACGTTTGCGACTAAATATGGTGTTCGAGATATCAAGATCGCCACCCAGGATATCAACTCCGGAGCCGACTTTCGACCGAAATGCCAACCATGAGATTGATGTGAATGCGAAAACGGAAAAATTAGAAAATAATGTTTTTGAAGGAAGGAAAGAAGTTGCGCAAGAGGACGCGACGGTGACTGCATCCTCAAGATCTTCAACTATGTCACATCACTCTACAATCACAGCGGGACAACCACGGCCATCGAATACAAGAGAACCATCAACAGACCTGACGAGAACCACGTCAGTTGTACCGGATCCTGTGGTAATTCCTCGTTCCCAGCGCCGTGGGTTTCTCGCACGCTTCGCTCTTATTCCCGAAGTCGAAAATCCCCAGCACTATACCCGACAAACGAAATGGCTACTTACTTTCATTGTTGCTTTTTGTGCCATGGCTGGACCAATGGGCTCTGCGATTGTCATGCCGGTACTCCAAGACATTAGCAAAGCTTTTCAAGCGACCGAGACTGTAACCAATATGTCCGTCGCTGTGTACATGCTCAGCATGGGCATTTTCCCACTATGGTGGAGTTCCTTTTCAGAACGGCTGGGCCGACGAACCATTTACATTACCTCATTTATTTTATTCGTTATTTTCGGTATACTCGCAGCAGTTAGCACAACGATCCACATGTTGATTGTCTGCCGTGTTCTGTCTGGAGGTGCAGCCGCCTCTGTGCAAGCAGTGGGTGCTGGAACCATCGCAGACATCTGGCACACGAAAGAAAGAGGCGCAGCAATGGGCTTGTTCTACCTTGGTCCACTCTGTGGACCTCTGTTTGCCCCGATTATCGGAGGTGTGCTCGGAGCAGAACTGGGATGGCGAAGCACACAATGGTTTCTAGTCATATACGGAGGCCTCACAGTGATCTTTATCATCTTTGCCCTACCAGAAACATTACATCGGGACATTAAACCATCTACAGGCCCTGCTACACCACCGTCAAGCGATGACAGAGAAAAAGAGCCTGATGCGGCTCTTCGAAGAAGCACCACGCACGCCTCAACCGTACAGAAAACTAAGAGCATACTTCTGCACCTCCGCCATATATTCATCGACCCGCTTCGTATCATAACTTGGCTCCGCTTCCCACCTGTCCTTCTTACCGTATATTCAGCAAGCATAACCTTCGGCTCCCTCTACATCCTCAACATCAGTATTCAAAAGACTTTTTCTAGTTCCCCGTATTCCTTCTCAACTCTCATTGTTGGTCTACTCTACATCCCAAACTCTGCAGGTTACCTCCTCGCTTCTATCTACGGTGGCCGCTGGCTCGACTCCATCATGCACCGCGAAGCCCGTAAAGCGGGGCGCTACGACGAAAACGGCAAACTCATCTTCCGGCCCCTCGACCGCATAAGAGAGAATGCTTGGATTGCTGCTACTCTGTGGCCTGCTGCGCTGATCGTGTATGGTTGGACGGCTCAGCATGGGATACATTGGGTTGTGCCCATGATTAGCAATTTCTTCTTTGGCATCGGCAGCATGTTGGTGTTTGCGCTTGTAAATACTATATTGACAGAGTTCATGCCCAGACGGGCTGCAAGTGGAATCGCGCTGAATAATTTTGTGCGGAACATTTGTTCATTTGTAGGCGCTGTAGTGGCAGAGCCGATTCTCACTGCAATTGGGAATGGGTGGCTAATGACAATCTTGGGTCTTTGGAGTGTTACTACAGGCTTGGCTGCATTGTATGCGTTGAGTAGGTGGGGCGAGAGATGGAGAGGGGCTATGATTGAGGTTTTTGGGTGAAGGGATGAAGACGGTGGAGTGGAATTCGAAAAGTTCGCAAGTTATGCCTAGATGACTGCTTTGTATGTATATACTTTCTTTGTTTCTACGTAATGAACACGCCCGAAACATCTATGATAGACAATCAAAAGTACCGACGCGCAAGCTATACACTGTAAGAACTATGACGTAGCTCCAAGATGTTTTTTATTACTCTAAAACAAAGTTAAGGTGATGACAGTGTATACTTACCACGAAACGGCCCGTAATTGGGTCGCAAACTAGACATGAGAGAGGTGCGCTTCCGGTGTGAGTATGCCCGGCTCTCATGTATCCGACAGTCACTATTCGCTAGCAAGATCTAGTATATCGTCAAGCGATGTCAAAAGCAGGGTAGTATTGTAAACTGATGAGCCCTTCACCATGTACGATATACGCATCGGATGCATGGTATGCCTACTGCACCAATCACAGACTGCCATAGTATCGGCATCTGGCGGATGCCGCAAGCACATGTACATATTGTCCCATATCCCCAGCGGCGACACAGCACCGAATAAGGGCGCAAAACCCCTCGCTTACTCGACCTCCTGCTTAGAGTGAATGAACATGTCATAGCCAAGATAAATCATGAGGCGCTTTCCGGTGAGCTACACCGTTGGCGTTGTTGACTCGCGTCAACGCCCGCTAGGTACTCAGCAAAAACACCCACGGACAAACCGCCCCCGGTCATCCAACCTCTTCCCCACCCCCAACATCCAAGCCTCTCACACAACCCCCCTCAAACGTCAGACCCTGAATCGCCAGTGATCTACAGGATCCCAGCCTACTAGGAGGTCGTTTTAAGATACCATTCTTTCGAAGCGTGTTTTGCCTTGCGAACCTGAGGAATTCCCCCAGTTGGGGACCCACTTGCAACGATACTTAGTTACTAGGGGACGGCCCGAAGTCAGGCCGGTGGGGTCCCCTCCCCCTGGGCGGCCGCTCTCTGCTAATCATGTTCTCCTCTGCGTATATGAACGCAGCTCTCAGACAACCTAGTAGCCCCTCCCCACTCTCCCCTGCCCTTGCAGCGAAACACAACCCATCAAAAAACCGCTGCCAAGTCGTTTTGAACCTGTCACCATTGAAGCACATGTTACGATTGGAGGGCGTGGTGTGGTGGTGAACTACAAGCCGGCAGATTGACGTTTGGTGGCCATGGGCGGAATTACCGATGTTGTCTTGGGACTTTTTTTGCGCCCTTGCTATTTTCTTGACGCCCTTTTTAAGAATGCTGGGGGTGCGGGGATTGTTGGTGGTTGCATGGTATATTGTCGTTCCCAGTATTAACCATCTAGATCTTTTTTTTTGGTCTCGCATCGTCCTTGCAGTAGTTGATCTGCTTCTCTTGTTTAATCCCATATTTCTTCCTCTTTTAAAAATCCAACTTAATCCCAACAAACTCTTCTTCTTATGTTCTTACTGCTAGCAGTATAGATAATGGGTTTCACAAGCGGCGGCGAAAAGAGCACCAGCTCGACTGTGGAGATGGAGAAGGAGAGTATCATCTCAAACGAACCCGCTCCCATGGGCGCGTGGAAAGCATACTGGGTACGTAAGCTCATGACGATTGGGATGTGAACCATGTCACTGATTTTTATGCGATTTCTTGTCGTAACACAGAGGGTCTTCAAGTATGCACAGACTACAGACTTGATCATGATTGGCATTGCTGGCATTGCTGCGTGTGCATCTGGAGTCGGGATTGCCTCTCAAAACATAATATTCGGAAAATTCGTCACCGAGTTTACCGACTTCGACACGGGAAATGCGGCGGCGGATAGCTTGCGATCGTCGAGTGCGACGCTCGCGTTGTACTTTTTCCTCTTGGGCGTTGGCAGAATGGTGATGGCGTACATTTACAACTTCCTCCTCACATTTAGCGCGTACCGCATTGTGCGAAACATTCGACATGCATACCTCAAGGCTGCATTACGACAGGAGGTGGCCTATTTTGACCTTGGGACCAGTGGATCGATTGCAACTCAAGCATACTCTAATGGTCGCCTTGTCCAAGCTGGTATCGCGGAGAAGTTGGGACTCACTATCCAAGGCCTATCAGCTTTCTTCAGCTCCTTTGTCATTGCCTTCGTTACCAATTGGAAGCTTACGCTCATCATTTGTTGCATCGCGCCTTTAACAGTCGGTGTCATGATTGGGTGTGCTTTCATCGAAGCCGGTTACGAGGCCAAGATTCTTGAAAGGTATGCCGATGCCAACTCCTTCGCCGAGGGAGTCATTGCTAGCATCCGTACTGTTCACGCATTCGATATGAGGGCGGAATTGGTCAACCGATTCGACGGATTCCTTGTACAAGCGCACCGCTATGGCAAGAAGATTTCACCTCTTTTCGGTATCCTGTTCTCGGCTGAGTACACCATCATCTATCTGGGCAACGCACTTGCCTTCTGGAGAGGTATCCATATGCTTGCCAGTGGAGAGATTGCGAATACTGGAGATGTCTTCACGGTATTGATGTCCGTCGTTATCGCCGCGCTCAGCATCACTCAACTGGCTCCTCATTCTATCGAGTTCACTCGTGCCGCGTCTGCGGCCGCTCAGCTCTATGTGGTCATTGATCGAAAGACCGCCATCGACCCCATGGATCCGTCTGGTGAAGTGCCAACTTCAATCACCGGGGATGTCGAGCTTGAGAATGTTGTATTCGCCTACCCGACACGACCTGATGTTACTGTACTCAAGAGCTTCTCTCTTCGCGCACCAGCTGGAAAAGTTACAGCTCTTGTAGGACACAGCGGATCCGGAAAGAGCACTATAGTCGGTCTTTTGCAGCGATGGTATAACCCTGCCTCGGGAACTATTAAGCTTGATGGTCGATCCATCGACTCATTGAATATCTCCTGGCTACGAAGGAACGTCCGTCTGGTACAGCAAGAACCTGTTCTATTCCGTGGATCCGTTTTCGATAACATTGCCAATGGTCTCTACGGTACCGACTTAGAAAAGGCTTCGAAAGAAGAGCAGATGAAACACGTTGTAGCCGCCGCCAAAACCGCTTACGCCCACGACTTCATCGAGCAACTCCCTCATGGTTACGACACAGAAATTGGTCAGCGCGGAGGTCTACTTTCCGGCGGTCAGAAGCAGCGTATTGCCATTGCACGCAGTCTCGTATCGAACCCCAGAGTTCTCTTGCTCGATGAAGCAACCAGTGCACTCGACCCCCATGCCGAAGGAATCGTCCAACAAGCCCTTGATCAAGCTTCCGCTGGCCGCACCACCATCGTTATCGCACACAAGCTAGCCACTGTCCGCAATGCGCACAACATCGTCGTCATGTCCAAGGGAGAAATTGTCGAGCAAGGAACGCATAACGAGCTCCTCGCTATGAAGGGAGCGTATTCGCGTCTCGTTACCATCCAACAACTTACCGTTGAAGGCGAAGACTCTCCCGAAGGCACGGAAGTAGAAGTATCTGACGAAAAGTCGCTAAAAGAAGATCCCGAAGATAAGGAAGCCGCAATCTATCGCTCGACTACCAATGCAGCAAGTATCCGCACACAGGCTGGAGCTGGTAGATATAGCGACGAAGGCACGAATCAACTTGGATTGCTTGCTACCATCTGGCGCCTTATCTACGAGACCCCGGATTTGAAATGGGCGTACTTGGCCATGTTTTCCGGCTGTTTCCTTTCTGGTATGTACTCTTGTCACCACGCACTGCCGTACAACCACTAACTGTTTTCCAGCGGGCTTGTTTCCTGGCCAAGCCATTCTCATGGCCTACATGATTGACGTTTTCACTCTGACGGGAAAGGAAATGACTGATGAGGGTAACTTCTTCGCAGCCATGTTTGTTGCCCTTGCCGGTGCTTGTTTGTTCTCCTACTATGCAATGGGATGGGGAACGAACACGCTTGCACAGGTGAGTAATGCTTTGCAAAATCTCCATGACAAGATTCAACTTACTGATCAAACTATCCTAGGCTTTGGCACACAACCTGCGAAAACAAATCTTCAACGACATTCTCCGCCAGGATATCGAGTACTTTGATCGCTCGGAAAACAACATCGGAGCACTCACCAGCCGTATCGATGCTTACCCCCAGGCCGTATTCGAACTGATGGGCTTCAACATCGGATTCATTCTCATTGCCGGACTGAGTATCATTATCTGCTCTATTCTGGGTATCGTGTACGCCTGGAAGCTCGGCTTGGTCATCGTCCTTGCAGGAACGCCTGCCGTCATTGGCTTTGGATGGATCAAGATGATTCTTGATGGCAGGCTTGACCGTCTCGTTGCCAAGCGGTTGTCGACGAGTTCTGCGATTGCGTCGGAATCAACAACGGCTATCCGCACAGTGTCTTCTCTGGGAATTGAGAGGGCGATTCTGGATCGATACACGTTTGAATTAGATCAAGTAGTGAAGGGATCACGACAGCCGCTTCTGTTTGTTATGTTTTGGTTTGCTTTGACTCAGGCTTCCGAGTACTGGTTTATGGCTCTCGGATTTTGGTATGTTTCCACACGATTGTTTGACGTTCAAAATCTAACATGCACGCTCAGGTATGGATGTCGACTCGTTGCCGCTCGGGAAATCACCATCTTCGACTTCTTCGTTTCCTACATGGCCGTCTTCTTCTGCGCACAATCGACATCTCAAATCTTCCAATTCTCAACCAGTATCACCAAAGGCAAGAACGGCGCCAACGCCATCTTCTGGCTCAAGCAAATCCAACCAGTCGTCCAAGAAACACCCGAAAACAAAGACAACAGCCCCGACCCAGAAGGCTCTCTGCAACTCGCCGAAACAAGCTTTGCCTACCCTCTCCGCCCACACGCCCCCGTTCTCAAAAACATCAACCTCGAAGCCCGCAGAGGCCAATTCATCGCCCTAGTCGGCGCCTCGGGCTGCGGCAAATCCACCATAATCTCCATGCTAGAACGCTTCTACGACCCTTCCAGTGGCGCCGTCCTGCTCGGCTCCCAAGACCTCACCACCATCAACCCGCGCAAGTACCGCGCCCAAGTCGGCCTCGTCCAACAAGAACCCACCTTATTCCAAGGCACAATCCGCGAGAACATCGCACTTGGCATTTCCAACCCGACCGCCAACACCATCCTCGACAGCGGCGCCGTCTCAGACGCTGACATCGAGCGCGCCCTCCGCGCCGCAAACGCCTGGGACTTTGTCTCTTCGCTACCCGAAGGCGTGAATACCGCCGCTGGCCCCAACGGAACTCAACTATCCGGCGGCCAGCGCCAACGCATCGCCATTGCACGCGCTCTAATCCGTAATCCACGCATTCTCCTCCTCGACGAAGCCACCAGCGCCCTCGACACCGAAAGCGAAAAGATTGTACAAAATGCGTTGGCAGAGGCGGCGAACGACGGCGATCGCATTACAGTAGCTGTAGCGCACCGTCTATCGACGATCAAAGATGCAGATGTCATTTGTGTGTTTTATGGCGGCAGGATCGTGGAGCAAGGTACGCATGCGGAGTTGTTGACGGGAAGTGGCACGTTGTATAAGAAAATGTGTGAAGCGCAGAGTTTGGCGTAGGTAATAAATATGGTTTGTATATATATATTTTTGGGGTATACGAAGAGGAAAAAAGATGGGAGTGGGGGGGGGGAGTTTAGATACCTAGATTATTGTTTATTTCAAAAGTTCAAATATCTCTACACTGATCACTCTTTTGACTATTTTGTGACCTTGATCTTTTTTTATCTCCTTGGACTGACTCTGGCATGCAAACTCATATTTACTACTACAAAAATCTATCATACCCACCAACCCTCTCTCATCTCCCCCCCCCTCGCACACAATCGCATCCCCCATCGTTTCCTCCCCCCCTGTCCCCTGTCCTCCCTTCCCCTTCCCCATCCGCCCCCCCGGCCCGACACTCCCTGCCCACCGGCACCTTTCCGCCCCTAAATTCCGCAGCCAACCCCACAATACACTACCAACAAAACGCTAGCTTTCTGCGCGTATAGCGATACGAAACGTATTGTGTCGCGGGGAGTTGCGATAGGCTAATCCCCTCCCCTTGGGTATGTAGGGCTGGGTGATCCCTGGTGTTAGCGCGTATATTCCTTCGATATGTGAAGGATTTTACTAGTATGTTTTTCTTGAAGGGCGGGGGGGGAGAGGATGTGGTGGGGAGGGTTAAGGACGAGGTGCATCGGGAAAAAAAAGGGAAGGATTGTTGCATAAGGGGGTGTGAGGGTTACACGACAGAGTTCAAAACAACAGAATCAAACAGACAGTTTTTGCAGCAAGAGGAAAGAAGATTTGGGGAAGCAAAGAGTTTAATAGCTAAGGATTGACTAGGTCGGTGAACTCAGGGGGGGGGGGGGTGCTTCTCGAGGTAATGACTGGGGGGGTTTATAAACAATGAGGTAGAAAAAAAAGATGGTTGTAGAAACCTAGAAAGTACTACCTCATGCGAGATAAGTGGTAAAGAAGAAGAAAAGAAAGTGCCTTCTACATACGACCCCTATGTAGGCTATGTAAAAGAAGAAATCCCTACACATCGCCCATGTGACCCCGTTGCGTTCAAGAAAGGCGTTATCCGTCGTAGACAAGAAAGAGTGCGTGTATGTGTGTGTGTGATAAACAATCATTCGTGTCGTTGCGAATAAAACATCGCGTTTCTTCGTTAGTAGTAAAAGTTGCAACCCCCAGCATCCCACACAAACAGGCTATGTGTCTTGCAGACTTAATCGAGGAGACGCTGAGCCCACGACGCACTCTCGTACCAGGCACGGATCTTCTTGCCAAAGATGTACATGGGAAGGGCCAACACGGTGACGCCGGCGGCGCAACCGGCCATGGCGCCGAAAACGACTACAGGACCGGCAGCCATGAGCCATTCGATCATGGGGCCCAGACCGACGGTGACAACGGCGGCGCCGATGAGATTGACGGATGAGAAGGCTTGGGCGGAGTGCTCCGGGTGGCAGTCGATAACGTACGAGACGGCGATTTGGATGGCAGAGACGCTGCCGACGTTGGTAACGGTCATCCAGACGAGGATCCAAGGGAGAGGGAGTTCATTCTGGAAGGAGCCGCCGAGGCCGATGAGGCCGGCCATTGTGACGGGGGTGGCGACGAGGAGGAGGACGAGACGGAATTCGGGTTCTACCATTCCTTTCTTGGTGCCGTTGTAGCGCCCCATGAGGCCGACGGAGGCGTCGGAGAGCCAGCCGAAGAGGGGGCCGGCAAGGAGGCCGACGATGAAGAGGGGGAGGTTGGTCATGCCGATTTGGCTGGGGCCGAGGTCGTATGGGGGTGCGGAGAGGAGGATGGACATGAAGGTGGACATGCCGACGAGGAAGAAGAAGATGGCGGCGTTGAGGAAGCAGCTGTAGATGACGATAGGCGAGGTGATGAGGCCGAAGGGCTTGATGATGCCCTTGAAGAAGGACTTGTTGGAAAGGCGGCCGTTGAAGAGCGTGAGTTGCTGGCCGTAGGTCTTCTTTGCGGGTACATTGGAGCTCTTGAGATCTTCCTCATCCCACTCGCTCCTCAGCTTGCTGGGCTGCACAACGATGGTAGTGACGGGCTCGTTCTTGCGGTTGAAGTAGGCAGATTCGAAAACGGTAAAGTAGAAGAGGGGGATCAGGCCGGTGTATATGAAACCTGTGATGAGGAAGTTGGAGGACACGCCAAAGCTGTCTGTGACGACACCGGCGATGATTTGACTGTGAGGTTTGCGCGTTAGTCGGATTCTTAAGTTGGATCGGGGTAAATAACTAACCCGAGTTGTGCTCCAGAGTTCAACATAAGGTTCCATACAGCGATTGATCGGCCACGCTGGTTGACAAAGAAAATATCGCTGATACTAGCAGTAAGGAGAGTGAAGAGAGGGGCAGAGAAGAGACCTCCTGCCGTTCGTGCAATTACTAGCATGCGGAAGTCGGTCGAAAAGAAGCCAGCAAAGTTTGCCAGAGCAAGGAAGACAGCGCTCCAAACGTAGAATGGTCGTCTTCCCCAGATGTCTGTTCCGGCGACAGCGATAAAGGCTGCAGCTGATGTCCAAAAGGTAGGTGCAGTGATGATCCATGTTGAGATATCGCTGTCATTGCTTTGTAGCTTCTCAGTTAGAGGCTCGAGGCCGGGTGTGAGCATAGTGGTTGTTCTGTTGGATGTTAGTGTATGTTCGCACAAGAGTATCAATATTGGACGCCTACGCATTGGTGATTGCAGAGCCAAAGGCCAGGACGAAAAGGTGCACACACTTCCATGTGAGGGACCTGCAAAAATCAGTTGGTGGTTTCAGATGGCGCTGTTGAGAAAATCGCCTACCAGTTGAGGGGGTCATTTGGGTCGTCGCTAGGCTCAGGAGAGCGCGCTACAACCTCCGTTTGATTGATAGAGTCGGTATCAGAGACGACCTTCTTGTCAACCACTCCTAAAAGTGATGTGCCGCGAGGAAAAGCTGCGCGCGAGCTTTCGAGTATGCCCCAACCCATCTTTGCCGAGTTCGATTTATCGTTTTTGTAATTTTTTTTACGCGAAGAACTGCCAGAGCCTCCTCTTTTTCAGGTATCACTCCAGTATATAGCGATCGTTGGTGGTGAAGAAAGAAAAAATTCAGTAAATAGCAGCAGATAAGAAACCGTCCAGCAGTGTTGCCAAACCAGTTGGCATAGAGAAGCGAAGCAAACAAAAAAAAACTATCCCGAGAGAAAGTAAGAAGAAAAAAGACAAAAAGCGAGATGAGATCCTGTCTAGAGAGTGGATGAAGCTGTTCAGACACGGATTGATATGGATTAAAAAGAGATAGAGAAAGAGTGTATACTTCTTGGCCACAAGGGTTCCATTACCAAGCAGGTTACGCGTCTGACAGACTGGGATTAGCATTGCTCGGTGGTTCATGTTTTTGCGACACGTCGCAGTAGTCTTGCAAAACGTGGAGAAGCGTATGTATGAGGCCTGCTACAAGATCCATGGGGATTGGCTTTTGTACGTAAGTGGTGCGTTCATACTACTATGTTGCAGCGCTTCCCATACCTACTTTTGCACACGAAGCGCAACTTGGTACCTACACGCGACTACTTTGGCGTACTGCACAGGATACCGTGGACAAGCCGCCATGCGGGATGCGCCTCTTCCTTCAGATAGGCGAAACGTTATGATGCGAGATGAGAGTACTATGCTCCTTCATCGCATTGGCATTCTGCATGCTGTCATGGAGGCTCCGAATCGGGATGGCCAAGCGTTTTGAAATGTTGGGGAACACGATTAATGACAGTCTGGACGTCGTTGCACGAGCCGCTGACATCCTTTCAATAGAAGCTGATCGACAATAGTCCCATGATGGCTAGAGTTGGTGCAAATGCTGGCGAGGCGCGCCCTCACGCCACTGTTGGTGCTAGTGCACCGCCGCAGATCCTCAAACAGGGTCTCATCACTTGGTGGCGATACCTGAAACGCTTGATGTGCGACAGGAATAAATCCGCCGATGTTTGCATTAGCCCGGCTGGGCAAGGCTTCAAGTAGTGCTCCCGTGGGGATGTCAAAAGGGCTAAGGGCTGAGGACGCAACCGCCCGTGAGAAGTGCGCAGTATGCCGTTTGTAGATGCCGATCCAAAGATGATGGTCGGCTCTCCGAATGCGAAGCACGGCATGTTGAGAATGATCGGGGACCACTAGTTCGCTTTAATATCAATGGTTTGAAGTTTAGAAAAAAAGGATGCGCACTTGAGTCTTGGTATTGGGCGCAAACATGTACGAAAAAGGGGTGTAATAGTTGGAATGAGTTCGTGAAGATGATATGCATGTACATAGTGGCCCGCCGGAAGGAACCTAAGCAAACAACTTCCATGAGCTCTAGAAGCATACTCCTTGCCCCACGTGGAAGTCTCACACTGCCGGATAACCGGCCAATAGGGCCGTTGCCTTTTTCCATGCTCAGCCTCAATAGGAAATCATTACTAAGAACCAAGCATGGACAGAACGTAGGACTTGGACAATGTAAAACGCCAATCAGACAGGATCTCTTGAGCGGAATTAGAGCCGTTAGGGAACGGAATAAAGATGATAAGCGTTTGATAGAGAACCCTAGTGGTTTGCAAAGTCGGCTCTAGGTTCCCGAGAAATTCAGGCCAGCGACCCCTTGAAGTATGCTATAGGGAAATATGATGTCATGTGGTTTGACTTCTACGACATGAGCCAAAAGGAGTTTTGAAGCAGATATTGCAGTTCGCTTTCTTCATTCAAAATTTGTAATCTGCTAAGTTTGAGGTAGTGCAGAATCAATGCAATAGTCGTGTACCTCAATGTTGGATGCCATGTCTCGAAGTAGAGGATAAATTAGAACTGTTCACGGAAAGAATGATGCCCATGGCTTATCTTCTAGCTGAAGAGGCGTGATAGTCAACATAGACATAGTTAAAGCAAGAAAACAACGTTGAAGAATAAAAAATAAAATTCGTGTGACTTTAGTCCATCACACACATTACAGCCCTAGGGCTAACTTTTTGATCTTACATCAAGTCGTCTCTGCATGCTCAAAACATGACATCATGTTCGCTAAATACGAGGAAAAAAACACACTTTTATAGCAGAATTAGTTGGCAGAGTTGCGTGCCTTTGCGGCTTCAACAGCCTTTTCCCAGCTTGTTTGCCAGATAAACCAGCCTTCGATTGCGGAGACAATGGCTAGTGCAATTGCAGGACCCTATATTGCATTAGCATCTTTTCAATCTGTTCAATTTGGTTTCACTTACACTCCAAAGACCGTATAGTCCCCAATGTAGCGGTCCGAATCCAGTACCAAAACTGATTGGAATGCCGACAACGTAGTATGCGAACAAGCCCACATAACCACCAATTTCTTGACGACCCAGTCCACGCAGGATACCGTTGCAGTTGGCGGCGAGGGCATCGACGACTTGGAAAGTAGCGCAAAGAGGGAGGAGATTGGCCACCATGGCAATGACCTCTTCATCGGGAGTAAACAAACGCGGAATTGCTTCTCGAAGTAGAGAAAGGAACATGAGGTTGAATATGCCGACCAAAATAGACGCAAAAACAGCTACCTTTGCGGCCGTTTTCGCAGGTACGGCAAGAGTCGCACCAATCAAGTTGGCAATGCGCGTCGAGGCAGCAATACTCATAGGGAATGGGATCTGGAATGTGATGCCGGTAATCGTTCCAAGGACAGATTGTGCAGCAAGCTCAGTAGGACCCAGCCAACTTGAACTTAGAGTTAGAATCTCAAAAGCGAGAAACTCGGCAAGTACCATGACCAGGCCAGGAAGCGCGAGCTTAATCATGGGCATCCAGTTGTTAAGAGCTCGGCGGTCGAATCCGCCCCAGCATTGGTAACCATCGATGAAGCGGACGTAGAGGAATAGGAGGAGAGGTAGCAAGTTCTCGGTAATGACGACTGCAATCGGTGCGCCGATGAATCCCCAGCCGAGATGCCAAACCATGAACCAGTTCAAAAAGGCATTGACCGGTGCGCAGATGAGGAGAATATACATGGTAGCGTTAAAAATGCCTTGTGCTTGAACGTAGCGTTTTCCGCCTTCGAAAGCGACGTAGCCAGGTCCTCCAGCGATAAGAATTCTCAAGTACAATCCAGCTAGACGTGCCGTTTCGTGTTCCGGAACAATCAGGGACAGGATCTGGGTACCGAATGCCCATATTATGGAGACTGGGATGGTGATTAATAGTAAAAAGTACAGCATGCGTTGCAGCTGTAGACCGACGAGATGTTTACGTCCAGAGCCATAGGCTTGTGCACAAAGGGTATCTAGTGAAGTTGCCAGGCCTTGATATACTGCATATCCGGTGATGGAGGCAGTCATACTAGCCAGACTCACAGCTCCGAGCTCAGTCTTGCCAATATGTCCAACGGTGAAGATACTGGCTACGGGCAGACTGTACTGTAGCAAAGAGGTCAGGATTAGTGGCGCCGATGTTTTGGTCAAGACTTTTGTTTCGCGCTGCCAGGTTGTGTTGATTTTTCCGGCTGCAACCGCCTCGTCCCATTTCTTGTGGATAACCTTTGGTGTATCCAAACCACCATATGGCTGGCTTGGGTTACCAGCAGAAGCGCCTAGTAGGGCAGTTCGCTCGGACAGGGATTCGATGGCGCTCTCTTCATCCGGAGTGCTTTTGACCCTGCGCAGGCCAAGGATGGGCATGTCGGACCTTAAACGATCAAATGGACCGTTACTCTCGGATCTCGGATGTTTGGGCGGTAGCAAATCATTGTCGCGAAGTAAACTCTTTTCCTCATTGCGCACAAGCTCTCTCTCTCGCTTGGACAGATGGCTGTGCTTTTTCCACGACGTTGACATGTGGCTGCGTTCGGGTACGCTCGATGAGATGATTGCTGTTGATCGCGAGCCGGGATTTACCCAGGAAGGCCGGCGGTAAGAATTGATCATGGAAAATTGGGTCGCCGTGTCTGAGCCTGACGAGGAATCATCATCCGAAGCTAGTGCATTGTCTTGCTCGAGGTCTCTGGCAATTGCCTCCTCTGCAATGTCTTGCGCTTGAACAAAGCCCTCTACTTGCGATGTGATATCGGCTGCAAAATTGGTGACAGGGTGACCTGTCGGTATGGGTTGGGACATGATTGGAAAGGCCCAAAATTCTGTAAAGCTTTCTTTTCCCTTTTGCTCAAAGCGAGTTTGATTAAGTTTTGGAAATTCTGGGACAGAAGGGAGGTTTAAGAAGCAAAGGATTGAGAGCGGGGCGTGAGGAAGACGATGGCAGTTGTCATCGGCTGCGAAAGTGCTGCAACCCAATGCGGAAACTCCACGCGAAGTTGGTGATAATAGCAGCGCTAGCTTCCGCCCTTCGTCCTTTGAGTTGACAGATGACAAGCACGGCACCGCATGCGCCTTGTGACTCCGAACTGCCTGGATCTGCCGTTCCATAGCTGCTACTGCGTCTCGGATCCATCTTCTCCACACTAGCACGAACGGTGGGCCGTGGCTATGAGGCTAGGGCAGAGATTACAGAGCGGCGCAGCACAGTCACATGACACTATCGAGAGGAATGCATGATGGCAAATGAGTCACTTGGGGAAATATGCATGTACGTATATAGTTTGCCTTACTCATACTGGTGCCAAGGTCTGCAAAGGGCGCTGAGATGCAGCCAGATATGTACGTGTGTATGAATCCAACAGATACATGCAGCTTACTCTGCATACTTAGCACACACACACATGTATATATATACTCACGTGACAAGCGTAACAAAGGACTGACGAACATTGTCGAAAAACATGTAACGCTGGTGGTATCATTATCTGCTTACTCAAATCTACAATCGCGCTGCAACTGCAGCCTCAGACGACTACTCTTCTGAGTGCCTCGGTTCCTCCGAGCACTCGTCTCCCCGTCACCGCGTCTCGCCCCTTCCCACTCTCCCATCTACCTTCTCGGCTGCCTTCTTCTTTGCCCCAGCCTTCATCACCTCCCTCTTCGTCGTCCCCGGCTCGGAATCC